AATCTCATAGCATGAGCGCCATTAAAGTTAAAGTTATTTTAAATATACATCACAGTGACCATGTAAAAATTAATAATTCAGTTTCTTATTCTTTTTCGAATTTGATCTACAGGATGTAGTATCATTTGAATGTTCATATGTATATGTTACTGGCAAAGTTTGAAATCCGGCATTGTATATAATGCCTAAAACTAGCCAGTAATGTATGAAACATTTCATATTTCACTCATTTCCTTGGCATTCTATAGAATGCCATATGACAAACCATCAAAGTATGAAATACATTTTCGATTCGTTTTCGAAGAACCCAACTACTTAACTAGAAGTTAATAAATAATGTAAAAAGGCCAAAATAATTACTAAGAAGAAACCACGTGACTACTGCTGAATCACTAGGATGTAGTGTTTGTGGAAAACAAAATCACATTCATTTATCCTGTTAAAGAAAGCGTCTGTACTATACAGTATTACATCATGGATGCTGAGTTATTTCCCGTATTTCATGTAAACTTATTTGCATCAAGTACTGCACATGGACGACATGACAGAATGTCGAAAGAAATTTCAATTAAATAAAAAAAAAAAAAAAGCTTTACAACTAATGATGTTGAACTGTACAACCACTTTTGTGAGCCCTGCCAGAAAAAACTAAAAAGGTATTAAAAAGGGCATTGTTGTGAAACTTATGATTGTTTCTGAATTTAATTTCCGTTGTTAAGTAGAACTTACTGATTCCGTCTCAGCCAGATAGAAAATACAAACTTATTATATTGTATCAAGATAATCTCGCAATACTTTTTTTTTTTTTTTACATATTTCAAATAGCAGTTTTTAATGGCACTATTTCAGTAGTATTTCAAAATAGCATTTGTATGTTTGAATAAAGAACGTCTGTTAAATAATGGCCTTATTCATAAGCTTTTTTTTATACTTTGCCTAAAGAGAATTTGTCATTCTGCAAAATACCTAGGTATTCTATACAATGCCTTGGGAAAGTATGAAATAATTCTCATATTTCATACTTTGCCTAAAATGGTCCGGCATTATATACAATGCCAGCGTTTCATACTTTGCCAGTAACATATATATATATAACTGTTTTAAGTTTTCATTAAAAGATTAAAAATCATCTTGTCCCATGCACTTTTTTTTTTTTTTTTAATGATTTTGTCACTGGTGCATCAGCAGCAAAGATTCTGAATAATGTTTGAAAATTTATTGTTCTCGCCTTTTGGACTTAGCGCAAGTATGCGAAGACAGCTAAGATAATTTAAGCAAAGGCTTTTTATTTTTAAAGTACAACATTAATGAAAGATCCTATGGCTAAACTAAATTAAAAAAAAAAGGGATGAGGACCTCAGTGTCCAAGATACTAAAGAAAATTGAAATAGAATTAAGTAAAGTTGACATTAGTCTAAATGTAATGCCTAAAATATTCTCCAATGTAGATTTATTCAGAGTGTTTCATCAAATTCCAATTGCTCCTGGGATGTCCATAAAACTGCTATCTGTACATTTTTTGGACTTATTGAAAGAACTCAAATGCAGTTTCGTCTGTACAGTGCATCAAGCATTTATCAACGGTTTATTGATGAAGTGACAAGAAGTTTAAAAGGTGTATATGCATTTATTGATGACATTTTTGACTGCCTCCAAAAGCAATAAAGAACATATTGAACATCTATAAGCTCTCTTTAAAAGATGGTCTCATTATGGTTAAACAATGAAACCCTCAAAAGTGTACTTTTGCAGTACTTACCATAGATTTTTTAGGATTTAAAATCTGTAAAGAAGGTATTTCTCAGATTCCAGATTAATTCGATGCAGTTTCTAAATTTCCTAGACCTATTCAGTTCTTGGCTTATTCAGTTTTTATCACAGTTTTGTACCACATGCAGTACACATTTTGTCCTCTTTAAAATTATGTTTCTCAAAGGTCATGCTAATAAAAGGAAATAATTCTGTCCAACTAAAAAGACTAAATGTCCTCTTTAGTGGTCTGAAGAAGATGAAAAGACAATTTTAACAGTTAAAGGATCTCTCGCCAAAGCTGCCCTCTTAAGACATCCATTTTCTGGTGCTCAGCTTAGTCTTTTGGACTGATGCATCTGATATTGCTATTGGCAGCTCTCTCAGGCAACTCCAAATTGGTCAGTAGCATTCAGCAGCCAATAGCCTTCCTCTCTTTAAAATTGAATAAGAGTCAACAAAAATGGCCTTCATATAACCAGAAACTTTTGGCAGTGTATGAATCTATCAGGAAATTTCAGCACATGTTAGAAGGTCGCAACTTCTTCATATTTACGAACCAAAAACCACTAATATTCGCTTTCTGACAAAAAGCAGAAAAATGCTCTTCTCAACAATTGAGACATCTAGATGACATCCCTCAATTTTCTACTGATATACAAAGGAAAATGTTATTGCCGACACACTTTCTCAAATAGAATTATACTCTATTTCATGCTTACCTGTTCTGGATTTCAAACAGTTAGTTTCAGCATAACTCACTGAATAAGCTACAACAGTTGCTGAATTACAAATCTTCTTTGAAGCTCTCTCTAAACAGTATTTCCCTGTTGAAGATATTTAGCTCTACTGTAACTCCACAATCAGTATTTCTCGTCCTTTCATTCACTTCATTTAGGTATATTATATTCCAAAGTATTCACAACCTTTCACATCCAGGTATATCTGCCACTTCAAAACTGATACTTAAATGTTACATTTGGCCTAACATGGATACTTTTATTAAAAACTCTGTGAAGGCTTGTGAGAAATGTCAATCTTCAAAGATATGCAAGCATACAAAATCACACATTTCAACATTTTTACTTCCTGATGCCAGATTTCTCATAATCACATTGATTTTATTGTCCCATTACCAGTTTCTCAAGGTTATCAATATTGCTTGATTATAATCAATTGCTTCACACAATGGCCTGGGCCAACCAGAGTTGAAATTTTGAGTTGCATCTTTTCAGGGAATTTACGAACCTGCTAGACACTTATATTTGTACCACTGCCTAGAGATAAGGTGAATGGAACCATTGAGTTGATTTATCACCAGCTGAAAAACAGCATAAAAGTGCAAGAAAACTCTCGCTCACTTTTGGTTATTCGATCTTCTGTCAAATGAGACATCCAACAAACTTGTTCTGAGCTAGTATATGATACTACCTTACTGCATTCATTATCAGTAATAAAACTGTTGTGCATAACACTAAACCTTCCAGTAAGATGGACACACTGAAGAATACCGTATCAACTATTCCTAAAACTGTCATAAAATTGGGACGACATGTCAGATTCCCTCAAAATATACCTACAACCTACTACATATAACTTATATATATTCTGTTTATTCAATATTTTCTTTATGCAATTAAGTTTATCTTGTGTTTTATTTTTGTAATTTTTTCCCACCTCAATTACTGTTGTATAATTTCAGTTACATTTGTTTTATCATTTGGTCTGCCTCACTGAGGGGATACTCTCTGGTGCTGCTATGGAAACAGTATGGGAAGTTTTCTTTTTTTGTAGACTTAAAATGCAATTATTTTTATGGTCTCTGAGGCAATTTGCTTTTTGTTGAAGTGTTGTTATGTTGGATATGATTAATAGAGTTTATTTTTATAAATTTGTCTTCTGCTTCACCACTAAACCTCTACAAATGTGAAGGCAGATAGAGGAACAGAAATAAGCAGATTTTATGATGAAATGTGTTTTCAAAAACAGTGCATCGATTTGGTAGCGGATATTCAAATAAGTAGGTGAAAGTAGTCTGTCTGCTGGTTTAAATTATTGCTTCCCATGCAGATTTGAGTGGTATGTGCCAATACAGAAATGAGGAGCTCATTGATTTGCATTTGGTCTGTCTAGCTGCAGATGGCAGAAGAATCATAAAACTCCTCTTGCAGAAGAAACTGTGATATGTACATTTGATGATAATTGTGATGGAAGCATGAAGATTGCTGGGCATGCTTTAGGTGAAACCCAACCTACTAGCTGGATGAATGAAACAGAAATGTTTCCATATCATTTGCAGAAAGTGTGGGCATTGGAATGAAATGATTATCCTTTGTACAACAGGTAAACTGCAATGATCTTGACTTGTCTTTGTACATTGGATTTACTAATGAAGTTGTATTTCCACTTGAGGTATATTAAATACCGAATGCAGGATAAGAAACTGGCATGAGATTGCATTGGGAAGATTCTTCAAAAGAAATTTTGTTCTGGGGCATAGTTACACCACTACTTAGTAGGGCTGTGTATTTTACATAATCACTTACATGCATGCTACATGAAATGTAATTTGTGTGGTATCTTTCTACAAAGTATATTGCCCAATGGTCCTTCAGCTTTTCACACTTGTTTGTGGTTCTAGCACAGTGGAATGTAATCTTACTTTAAGCATTAATGTCAGAAATTACCTTAATACTTCATACAGCTCCTAGTGGATTGAACAGGGTGCATCTGTTCCTTGGCTGCCACAATCATATGATTGACATGCATAGATTTCTTTTTCTGGAAGTCCATTAAAAACTTAAGTGGCCTTATTCCCAATACAAATGTGCATGAAATGCATGAGGTCTGTGATAATATATGCCAGTTCATGCACCAGTACTCTGAATTTTGCATTATTGCTGGTGGTTGCACTTCCAAGCACCTATTGTAAAATGTGTGTTTTCTATCAGTCTTGCTTCATTTTTTTTAAGTTACTTGCTATTTATTATAAGGTTAATAGGTATAGTTTATCTCTCAGTTCAAGTAACTTCTAAATTTTCTGAAGATTTTGAGAAAGTAAAAATACAGTTGAAAAATTTTTTTTGGATGGAAGGGGGAGGAAAATATGATATTTAGTCTCATTTGTGCTCTTTTACAATTTGAAATTATTTTTATATCTTATACTTTTCTATTTATTTGTTATTGTTATTATCTGAATGTATTCATTTAATTGTAGGCATTTTCTGTATTCTGTGATTTGATTTATATAGAGTAAGGAAGTGTCCAGTTCTTGGAGCAGAAGCGAAAACAGAAATTTCAGCTCCTATAGTAATAATGGTACAAATAATATTGGTCGTCAGCCAGAACCTAGTGCATTAGAAATTGCTGCTGAACAAGTAAGTATCAAAAAAATTTAGATAAAATTACGGTTTTAAAAAAATAAGTTTTTTGTTTGTTGTTGTTTTAGTTAATTGTCTAAGGAACAATGGCCCCCTTTTTTAAATTTTAAATTTAATAATGTAACTAAGCAAAGGAGGTGTGCAAACAAAAGGAGAATTAATGTTTTCTGTATAAACCAATTTATGTTATTCATTCAAAAATTCGCATTAATTTGAAAAAGAACAAAATATTTTTCATATTTAGTGTAAGGTAATAGTTTTTGCAATATATATTCTAGCAAATCTGCAACAGTAGTATCTGTATACCCTGTCATTGCTGGCATATTTTAGGGTAGCACAGGTACATACACTGACATATCCTTACAAAACATTTACTGCAATGGAATGTTTTCTTGGTGTTCCCTGCGACTTTCGTAGTTGGCCAAAAAGATAACCTACAAACCCCTATAAAAATATTCTATATGCTAAAGATATTATTTTGTGTACATTCCTTAACTAAAAATGTATCATATCATTTCAGTGTATGGCACTTCAGCTGCAACATTAATAGTAAAAGCTCGATTACCATTTAAATGCATGCTGCATGACATATGAGTTACGTATTGAAAGGTTCTAAAATCTTCATGGTTCAAGTCAAACTTTGATATTTCTTTTGTCCAGAAATCCCTTTTTCATTGTAATTTTTATTAGCAACCAAATTTCAAATGTGGCAGCCCCTCCTTTTTTTTTACTTTCTTGTATGAAGTAAAGGAAGTATTGTAATCACAAAAAATTCTGGGTACCATATTTATAACGAAAATATCAATTTTGACTACTAAAAAACAAGTAGCCTAAAAAACAAGAGTGTTGAAATTCTATACAAATAGGACTGTTAAATCATGTAGTTGTGCACCTCCCTTTTTGGTGACAATCAAAAGTGTACAGATATGTAAAGTATAGAAGATTAAATTAACAATGTAACGTTCCCTTCTCTATTCTAAAAATAGTAACCCCTCTCTGCACTGCGTCATTTCGGGAAAAATCTGTGTCATATGACTCTTACGTAATTATGATGATGTAAATGGAACTAAAACTCTTTACAGCCAATAATAATTTTACAGCAATGTTAACCATCCAATCAGAATGCTTTGAGAACCAAAATTAACTTAGTCTGACTTCAGATTTCATCCTGAACATTACACACTTGCTTTCCACGCTTTGGCCTAGCTACAACTGCTGCCTGTCTGCCTCTTCTCTTTTGCTACAAAGTTATCGAAAATGTAATCCTTTTGGAACAGGCACATTTAATGTGCCGACTTATGTGTAATCGCAACATGTTGCCGAAAATAAAACTGTAGATCTCCAAATTTGATCATTACTTCGAAGTAAATTACTGCTCCTGAATTTATTACAACTGAGTCGGCAGCACACATGTCCTGCGCGTTTGAATTCCAGTGGAAATGGCATCGCAATGTCTGCAATAACCAACCACCTTTTCAAACTTCCAAGTGTAATGGAAATTCATAATGGATATCGAATACCTGAAAGTCCAAAAGTGCTAATATCAATGAAAAGAAGTGTACAGCCATCTCTTAAATGTTTAGGAAAAAAAAGTGTTTTAAATCTTCAAAGTGTGCCTGTTCTTCATAGAAGTGTCATTATCCAAATTGTGGCTACGATTGTGAAAGCGAATTAGTTAAGTAATGCCTTCATGCTGTAATCTTCAGGATATTTACATCTTCGTCAATCTATGTGCGTATATGCGATTATTTAATAAGTGCAGTGTAATTTAACAGCAATATAAAAATGTGCAAAAAAATTCAAATTATGGAATTGCTGAGAGTATTTAAAAATGAAATCTAGAGCCAGCCTTTCAAAATTAATCCAGCGTTTGTTTATAGTAAAATGATGAATGTTTTCCGAGTGCTAACGATACGAATCATTCTGGTGCTTTCAAGGTTATTGAACTGCATATATTAATATTGCTCTTATACGAATAAATTAGGTTGTTCTTTCGCAGTTATAAGATTAAAAATTGAATCTCTATTGTGAACTGATATTTTTTCTTAATAAATTGGACATAAAAAATGTAACCCTGTGATATGAAAAAATGTAATTTAATAATATTAGAAATTTGAATTCTAATAATTTAGAAAAGTAAATAAGTAATTCTTAGATTTTTAGTTATTTTTAGGGAAGATTATTAAGATAAGTTTTCATATTTTTGAAATTTTGTTGAGAATTTTGAATACGAATTTTATAATTATTCTAAAAATGAAGTAGATGTAAAAAATAAGTGGAATTAGTGCAGGTAAGTAATATGAAATTATGGTAAATGCATGTTAAAATTTATGGTTGATTACGTGTTAAGTATACAGTAGGTTGAGGGTGGTTCCTAAACGGAAGCCTGTAATTAACTGTGTACAGTTGTTCCTTTTACCCTCTTCATGTAAGATAATGTTGAAGGTTTTCATTTTATGAGTATATCTAATTTTTTAATATTATTATACTTTTTTATTGTGGAATGTATTAGTGCAGTTTTCAAAGGCCAGTTACCTTATGCAAGGAACGGAGGCCTTTCCAAGTATCTGCCTAGGCACCTTGGGCCACCAGTGCACAGAACACACTGGTTAGCTTAAGAGGACAGCCCTATTGATGGATATCTTTGCTTAGAAATATTGCGAGGCCTTTCAGTTTGGTAAAATCTGGAATTGTAAATGAAAGATAATAACGGTGAAACCATAATTTCTGAAACTGTTACTATTATATTTATGGTGTTAAAATATAATTTATCAGTTTGGAAATTAGTATCATAAATATTTATGTGCGTTACATTTAATTATAAGTAATGATTATGTAAAAGTTTTATTTTGTGATATTCTGTGATAACGAGAACCTTCCCTGAAGAATTATGATTATGTGAACTCTGAAACAAAAAGACTTTTTGACTGAAATGCTGAAAAATTCAATAGAACTCTAAAAATTTATTTGATAGTAATTGGTATTTATAAATTGAAATCGGAATTTATAAATTAGAAAATTGGTATGTATAAATTATACTTTTATAGGATTAAAATTTTATGATTTATGTTTTTCTTTTTCATATGCTAGTGCTTTAACGCTTTTTCTTTAAAAAGGCTTCTCTGTCGCTACGCCTTTTCCTTCTTGAAGGGGGGGGGAATATGTAAGAAAAGTATAGAAGATTAAATTAACAGCGTAAATTTCCCTTCTCTATTCTTAAAGTAGTAATCCCTCTCTGCACTGCGTCATTTCGAGAAAAATCTGTATCATATGACGCGTACGTAATTAATGATGATGTAAATGGAACTAAAACTCTTAACAGCCAATAATAATTGTACAGCAATATTAACCATCCAATTAGAATGCTTTGAGAACCAAAATTAACTCAGTCTGACTTAAGATTTCATCCTGAACATTACGCACTTGCTTTCCACGCTTTGGCCTAGCTACACTGCTGCCTGTCTGCCTCTTCTTTTTTGCTACAAAGTTATCAAAAATGTAAGCCTTTTGGAACAGGCACATTTAATGTGCTGATTTGTGTGTAACCGTAACGTGTTGCCGAAAATAAAACTGTAGATCTCCAAATTCTGCTCGCCATTGCTTCTAAGTTTGTTCCTGCTTTTGAATCTATTACATATATATATATACATATGTATATATATATCTACATATATACCCACTCTGTTACTCGGCTCCATGAGCTCGGTTTTTTTATTCTTATATGATGGTAAATTCCTTTTTTTTCCCCTTAAAAATGATTGAATTATGTTACTTTTATTTTCTGGTTAAGGTTTTTATGCCTTTAGTTAACCTGCATGTTATAGTTGTAGAATTATTTACAGTTTAAAAGTTGTTTAAGTGCGGCTAAGCCTGATTTTTTTTACCAAAGCAGCCATATTTGTTTACATTTGAAACTTTGTTTACATTTGGACTTGTTTCCAATCTAGAGAAACTAAGCTTTGCAACAACAAAGTAACATCTTCTTTTGTTATTGCAAATTATGTCATGCTTAATCCATTCTGGGATTATCATTTAAGTTTTTAAATTATCTCATATATTGTCTCAGCATAGCGTCCACAATAAATTAAGTCAGTTTGTACACCTTCAGTGTCTTTTTGCCAAGTGAGACCAAAAGTAAACTTTCAGTTTTGTGCACGAAAAATTTGCCGTCTTGCCCACTGGCTGAATTGCTTGTTTTTGCTTAGAAACTGTAATTTTAATTGTAAAAAATTGTTTTTTTTTTTTTTTTTTGTTTTTTTTTTTTTTTTTTTTAAATTGTATTTGGTTCTTTTCTATATCTTTCAATTTTTAATATAGATATTTTGAGTTTTTAATGTATTTTTGCCTTGTCACAAAGTGAGAACTAGATAGTTGATTGAGAAATGTATCTTTAATGAAGTGCAGGATAAAATGTGCATAATTTAACATTCCGTACGAGGAAGTCACGTGGTGTACATATCAGATTTTTTAATACTGCTGCACAATATAATGTCCAAAATCTAGACCTTCGGACCACCAGCACAAAAAGGAGGGGGAGAGCTTTTTTTAAAAAATGTCTAGAAAGGGAAAATATGATGCTCAAGAAAAAGCAGGTGTACTGAAAGAACATATTTCTCCAAACTACTAGGCTTTCAAACACCTGCTGCCTGTCCCATTGACAATACATTAACTGATATTGACCATGACTGCACTTTCAATCCTTGAGTGATTGGGTGGGCTTCTCTCGGACCTTAACAACAAGCTCCAAGAAATATTTCTTTTGAGTGCTGTGTTACTTATACTCATATTTTTTTGTTGGCAGCGAGGTAAGAGAAGAAGAATAGATTCTGAGCACTTAATTTTAACTTAGCAAATTATGCTCTTTCTTAACTTTCTGATTTGCCAATATGTTATTTTTTACAAGTGGTTATTATTACAGCTGTCTTTTCAAAATTAAACTGTAAAAGTTTTAAACAGTTTTAATTCTGCAGCTGCATCAGGATCTATAAAGTGAAAAC